CTGGAGCTATGCTGTTCTTTATGTGTGGAGAGAACTGTTCTTGTAAGCATCTTCATCTTCTTCTATTAAGCAGTGCATGTAATCTGCAACATTCTGGCCCATGATGTGCTCCTGGTGTACTTCTGCATTAAATTCCTTGCTTTTCAGAATCATAATCAGGGAATCGTGAGGGATAGAAAAGCCTCCATCCACAGCTCCCTTCAAGGAGCCAAAAACTTTATTGCCAGTGGTAGTTCTAGCAAGGTCTGCATCCAAATAGCAGGTAAAGGTGCCAGGCTTTTCACATTGTATTCATTGCCAGTTACCTCCACTTGGTCTTCATAGATCTTGTTCATGCCAAACCTACTGAGAAGCCTGAGGGCCAGTACAATACGCTGCAGCGTCATTTGTCAGGCCAACCTTCACACCGTATTTTGGCAGTTCGTGTGCAGATGCTGCGCAGACTGTCGTATCCCCCTCTATATGGGCATAAGCAATCTGACAAATGATATCTCTGTTTGTTACACGAACCATCATTCTGTATTTGGGTGTGCTGTATTTATTTTTATGCTGTATCGACAAGTGTTTCCGAGCATAGTCATCAGTTTCACCCTCTCGTTGTCTTCCAAATTTCACTCGGTATCTCTAAAAGTAGGCTTTATTCTTAACAACTTTAACACACCCCATCCTGCAGAACAGAGATGCATGTCCGCTGCTTGACAGGGACCTGAAGGCCCAGCAGTGCCCATTTTTCATTTTTCATATCCTTTCTGATTTGCTGTCTAGTAGTTTTGTTAGCCATTGAAAGAAATGTGTTGAAATACCTAACTATAATTATTGATTTGTCTATTTCTCCTCTCATTTCTATCAGGTTGTCCCCCGGAACATCACAGTATCACACTATTATTTTTTACGTGTAAAAATTTGTAATATATGTCATCACAGTCTGGTGGTAGTGGTGTTTTACTACTTTGAGTTAGGTTTCTTTGCCCTCCTAACTTTTTAAATATAGTTGTCTGAAATATTTCCTTTACACACATTGAGCAACACAATTCTCTCCTTCTGAGACTTTAATGATACCAAATGCTAACTCTTTTGGTATTGCTCCACTGATCCCTGTGATTCTGTTCATTTTCTTTCTTCTCTATTGTTCAGATTGGGTAAATTCTGTTGATCTGGCCTCAAATTCACTCATTCCACTCTCTATCATATCTACTTTATTATTAGGGTCAAACTGCAAGTTTGTTAATTCAGTTATTATATTTTTAATTCTATCATTTGAATTTGGTCCCCTTTTACTTGTTTATATTTTTTCCATTTTAAAATTTGTTTTAAGATCATTTTTAGCATTTTATGTACTTTTGAAGCACTTTTATAGCAGGTACTTTAAAATCCTTATCAAATAATTCCAACATTGGATTCTTCTTGGTATCAGCATCTATTAATTTTCTCATTTAAGTTGTGATTTTCTTGGTTCCTTTATAATAAGTGATGTTTTGTTGTATCCCAGTGTATTTAGCTCTAATATTATGAGATGATATTTAATTGTGCAGTGTAGTAAAAGGTCCTGTTGGGTATATGTTCACCTTCCTATTGGGTCTCATCAACACCATGCTGGAGAAAAAGGAGTGCTGACTCACATTGCCTTGCTGCAGACAGGTGAGGTGCAAGTTCAGTTCCCTCCTGGCCCTGCTGACATCAGAAAAGGGAGTGGGGAAGCAGAGGGCCAACTGTCCCCATTTCCCACCACCTCACTGTGCCTCACTGATGCTGGATGGGGTGAAAGCTCCACTGCTCACTGGCTTCTGCTAAAACAGGGGAGGAGGAAGAAGGACATTAACTCCCCCACTTCATCCTATTTCATTCCGTTGATGCCAGGTGAGGCTAGAGGCTCAACTCCCCACTAAATCCCCTTTGGAGGTTGAGGGGGGCAGGGAGGGAAGAGCATCCACTAGCTCTAGTTTCTTGTCGTCACGTGGGTGTAGAGCTTCAGCTCCTTACTGTGTCCACTGACACAAGGGGTGGTGAGAACACAGAGTGGTGACTCGTCCCTACTCATACTTCCTGGTTAGTCTAGTCAATGTCAGGTGGGAGTAGGGACTCAGCTCCCTGCTGGACCCCTGCTGACCCAAGACGGGAGCTGACGCACACTGGTGATGGGCTCCACCGTAAGCCACTTCACTGGCTCTTGTTGCTGCTGAGTGGAAGTAGATTCACCACTGGGCCTTGCTGACACTACTCTGGTGGGGCATCTGAGCGCCACCCGCTTCCACCAGGAGAGGGAGTAAAGATGAGCTCCCTGCTCAGCCCCACTAAGGCCACTGGTTAGGGGATGGGAGTACTACCCCTGCTTCTGCCTGCTTCCTTACGTCAGGGATCCAGGGGAAGATCAGCTCTCAGTGAGGCTGAAATTGTCAATGGGGGTGGGGAGAGTGGTTATGTTTTTTGTTGTGTCTGGCTGGTGTAGCATGGTTATTACCAGAAAGATTTTCTGTCATCAGGCCACCATCTTCCTGTGGTGGCTAGGGGATTGGGCTTTTCTTGGAACATATTTTGTGTGCACCTGTTAGAGATTCAGGAGATGTGTATCCTGCCTGGGAGGCAACAAGGAAATCCAGAGACCTTACTTCTGTTTCATTCTTCAAGCCCCAAAGTCCCTAGGTGGCCTCCTTCTTCTTTCCCCCTTCCAGGGTCGTCTCCTCCCATGCTTGTCTGCTGTGTTTTGTCCAGGAAGTTTAATTGTGAAGAGGAAGATCTGTAAAGAATTGGGCTATTCCATCTTGGCAGGCTAGAAGTCCCTATTCTCCTTTTTTAAAAACCCCAAATCACGATCACATTCTTTATACAGTCATGTGCCCCAGCTAAAAATTTCCTATCACCTAGGAATATCTTTGCCATCGTGATGTCATAGCACAACACATTACCTTTTCTATGCTTCAGTATGCTTCCATGTGAAAATACTTAAACATAAAAATTGTGTTAGGCACTGTTGGTGGGGATGTAAATTAGTATAGCCACTATAAAAAGCAGGATGGAGGTTTCTCAAACACTAAAAAAAAAAAACCTAAAAATAGAATTACTCTTTGATCCAGTAATTCCATGAGTGGGTATTTAGCCAAAGGAAAAATAAATCAATATGTCAAAGGTATACCTGCACCCACATGTTTACTGCAGCACTATTCATAATAGCAAAGATGTGGAATCAGCCTAAATACCCATCACACAGAGAAACAGATAAAGAAAATACGGTATATATACATAATAGAATACCATTTGGCCATAAAAAATGAAATCATTGCATTTGCAGCTACATGAATGGAACTGGAGGTCATTACATTAAGTGAAATAAGTCAGGCACAGAAAGACAAATATGGAGTGTTTGTTTTAAACTTATACATGAGAGCTAAAAAAGTTGATCTTATCACAGTGAAGAGTTGAATGATACATACAAGAGGCAGGGAAAGGAGTGTGGGAGAGGTTGTGGGGATGAACAGAAGTTGATTAATCAGTACAAAGATACAGTCAGACAGAAGGAATAAGTTCTAATGTCTGATAGCAGAGTAGAGTGTCTATAGTTAACATTATATTGCATATTTCAAAATACATAGAAGAGAGGACTTGAAATGTTCCCAACACATAGAAATGATAAATACTCAAGGTGATGACTTGATCATTACACATTCAAGCCATGCAACAAAACATCACATGTATCCCTTATATATGTACAAATATTATGTATCAATAAAAAACAAAAATTATGTTGCAGTAGCCTATGGTGTTCAGTCCTGCATCAGGTTGTATAGGTGTTAGCTTAGGAGTAACAGCCTCCACCACATAGCCTAGGTGTGGAGTAGGCTGTGCCATCTAGGTTTACGTTAGTGAACTCTACGATGTTCACAACAATGAAACGGCCTAAAAACAAATGTCTCAGAATATGTTCCTGTGGTTAAGCAACGCATGACTGTACATTTTTATATCATTTTTACTTACCATATCATAAGTTTTTAATTTCTGTTAGAAAATAGCACTCTTTGAAAGCACCATTTTAAAAGCTATATAATTCCCCACTGAGTGGCCAGAACATGATTTATACTGCATAATAATTTTCCTATTGTTGAAAATTTAGATTCCAACATTATTGCTGTAATAAATAATATACTGGTGAAAATGTTTGTGCCTCAAAGTTTTCTGTATTTCAGGTTGTTATTAACTTAAAATACAGCCCAGAAGTAGAATTATACACAGTTCAACAGCAACATGCAAGAGGACCCCACTGTGCCAACATGGGGACTTCAACATACTTTAAAACATGAGCCAATTTGATTGAGAATGGAAAACAGTATTTGCAGAACAGTCTAAAATGCATTTACTAGATCATAAGGAGGCTAACCCATTCTCGTTCTTTTGTAAATTGGGTTTTCATGTCTTTTGCTTGTTCATCTTCTGGGGCATAGCCTTCCTAGTAGAAGAATCTTACTCACTATGTTCAAGTGGTTTTCTTTTTTTTTTCTTTTTTTTTTTTTTTATGAGAGGGAGTTTCGCTCTTGTTACCCAGGCTGGAGTGCAATGGCGCGATCTCGGCTCACCGCAACCTCTGCCTCCTGGGTTCAGGCAATTCTGCTGCCTCAGCCTCCTGAGTAGCTGGGATTACAGGCATGAGCCACCATGCGCAGCTAATTTTTTGTATTTTTAGTAGAGATGGGGTTTCACCATGTTGACCGGGACGGTCTCGATCTCTTGACCTCGTGATCCACCCGCCTCGGCCTCCCAAAGTGCTGGGATTACAGGCTTGAGCCACCGCGCCCGGCCTCAAGTGGTTTTCTTCAACCAAAAAGATATAATTCAAAGTCAAAGATCAGCTAAGAGAAATAATTTAATCCCCTGTTCAGCTGCAACAAATATCAAGTGCCTAATAGGAAGCACCTGCCAATTAAATAAAGCCGTCAGATAAAGATCAACCCTGTGAAACACTTCAGACTTCTGGATAATTTTTGATCTTGAAAACATTTCCAGAATCTTACCTGAAGCATAACAACATTGTCACCTTCAAAAGTGGCAAGCACATCAGTGTCACACTTTAAGCCCGAGATTCGATCTTCCATCATGTAACCCTGTTGCAAAAAAAAAGAAAAAAAGAACACATTTCACATTTGCAACCCCATCATTATACAGGACTCACATTTTCTTTAAAATTAAAAAATATACAGAAAATTGAAAAGAGGAAAACAATCATATTTTTCCTAGCCAGAATAACCACTGTAAGAATTTTGATTCCTTACATTAACTTTTGGTTCAAGAATATTATTTTGGTGGTAAAAAAAAAAAAAACAACAAAACAATTTGAAAGTGGTCATGTCATATTTCTGCAAAAGATTTCAATAAAGTCGACTGAGTTTTTTCCATCCCTCTTCCAAATTCTAATAAATGTCAAGGTTCTAGTGATTATACCTCGCTGTATGTAGGGGAAAGATGCTTCCCCACCCCCAGTAACCCTTCTGAAAATTAGCCTGTATAGCTAAAAAGTCCTTGGGAGGCAGCATAAACATCTTAAATTGCCACTCTGCATCTTAATATCATTAAATACTCTGCACCATAAATTCTCACTCCTGCAGTTTTTTTTTTCTTTTACTTCCTGAAATCCTTATTTAAATGGCAGCGTTGGCAGTGTTTTTGCACACAAATCAGAGAATCAGCTACACAGGAGAAAGTAAGTTCAGCCCCAAGCAAAACAAGAAGGAAGCAAAGCCTGTCTTTGTATGGCCCCAGGCCCTTCCCCTTCTGAGGGCCTCTGTACTACCTCCTTCTTCCAGCTCTTTGTCTTCTCCGTGAAATCTCCAGAATTGTTCCCACTGTCCAAGCCTGCTTCCATAAATCACTTCTGCCGCTGTCCCTCACGCCAAAGCTGACTGTACTGTTACTTCTCCCAGGAGTATGTGCAGTAAGCACTTCAGCTCTGAATGCGGAATGACAAGTTTTTTCCCCAATAACATTTTCAAGCCATAGAGGCCCATGGGTACCCTTCATGCCTGGGAGACCTGCTTCACTTCTGAAAATAGCCATAGGAGTCCTAGAATCCTAGATTTCTGGGGTCCTGCCACCCTCAGAGCCCTGAAACCTTGTGAGCATCTGCCCTGATCCTGTGGGGAGAGCCACCCTGGAAGGCCCGGCCACCTTTCCCTCTTTCCCGTCAAGGCTATCTGGGCTGTGTTACCACCTGCAGTTGACAGAAGCAAAGGAGTTCCCAGCAGAAGCCTTAATTACCTTCATAAGGTTAAACTGATTTTGTTTATGGATAAGTAAATCAGTAACATTTCCAACCATTAGTTTACTTCCCCCACCCCATAATAATCACAGAATTAAAACTGCCTTGTGGGCAAACCACATAGAATCAGGTTCTGATGAAGTGTGGTCCTGCCACAGAGTGATTTCCCCATAAGGCTGCAGTGGAGTCATTTTCACCCTTCTCATCCTATCTATGCTAGATACTGTGTTGGGACTTCACACAGACTTCCTTTAACTCGCAGAATCCCTTTTATCCTCACAATGGCCCTGTGAAGTAGGCATTATTCCCATTTTACAGATGAAGCAAGTGAGGTTCAGGATTGTGTTGGAATGTTCTTGAATCATCTGTCAAGTTCTGATGTAGAAGAACACTAAATATACCACCTGACATGGTTGGGCTCTGTGTCCCCACCCAAATCTCATATTAAATTGTAATAATCCCCACATGTCACGGGAGGGAACCAGTGGGAGGTAGCTGAATCATGGCGGCAGGTTTTTCCTGCCCTGCTCTCACAGTAGTGAATAAGTCTTACGATCTGATGGTTTTATAAAGGGTAGTTCCCCGCCACATGCCTTCTTGTCTGCCATCGTGTAAGATGTGACTTTGCTCTTCCTTAATCTTCCACCATGATTGTGGGGCCTCCCCAGCCATGTGGAACTGTGAGTCCATTAAACCTCTTTCCTTTATGCATTACCCAGTCTCGGATATGTCTTTATTAAGCAGTGTGAGAACAGACTAATATACCACCTCAGTGTTGAGAAGCAGAGGTTATACTCAAGAAGCCCAGCTGCAAAACACTCAAAATACTAACGTTGAAGAAACAAAGCGCTTTTTTTTTTCTTAGCATTTTGCTCTGCTCTCCTCCAGCAGGGGAGAGGGCACCAGGCTCTTTGTTGTTCTCTGACACTTTTTAAACTTACTCGCACCCTGCCCTGAAAGCCAGGCAGCTGGGCTTTAACATGACAGGAGAGAGAATCTACTCAAGTGGCAGAACCAGCAAAAAGACACTCAGAAAACAGTCTCTCAGAAAACAGGCAATGGATTTCCAGGAGCACAAAGATGTTCTGTATCAGCTCTTCACATGAAATATAATTAATTTCTCTCCTACGTGGTGAAACTCCGCTCCGATCTCCTCTTCTAGTTTGAAAGTCAAGTGAAACTGTGTGTTGATTCTGGACTCTACCTGGCCCTTGAGAGCTGAGGTAACAAGGCTCACAGCTCTCAAACAGTTTGTGGGCAACTGAAAATGAAACAGTTACAAGAAAAATAAAAGTCCAACCACGCGTGAGGCAGGGTTGTGGTTGTCATGTTGCTTCCCACCTCCTGAAAACAACAAGGTGTATTTATGATCTAATTTCTCTGGAATAAGCCAGAAACGCCTGGCCTCACAGAAGTCTCAATCCTTGGGACCCTGAGGTGACCCATTTAGAAACTAGCCAGGCTCAGAAAGTCCTAGAATTCATGTCCTGGGTAAATGTGTATGCGGCTTACAGAAAGACCCAGGGCATAGAGCAGTCACTTCACGGGGCTTGCAGCCATCTTCCTGAGTGACTTAAATTCTACAATTGAGGCTTTGAATTCTTTGGGGACAAATGATTATAAACAGTTTGTGCATGTGTGTCTGCATCGTTTTTTGATTAAAAATGAACTTTTTGGAGCAGCACCGTGGCGGTTGGCAAGAACAACTGCCTTATGAAAGGCAGCAAAAGGGAAGCAAAAAGAAAGTGGTTGATCCATTTTCTAAGAAAGATTGCTATGATGTGAAATCGCCCGCTATGTTCAATATAAGAAAGATTGGAAAGACGCTAGTCATCAGGACCCAAGGAGCCAAAATTGCATTTGAGGGCCTCAAGGGTCATGTATTTGAAGTTAGTCTTGCTGATTTGCAGAATGATCAAGTTACATTTAGGAAATTCAAGCTGATTACTGAAGAGGTTCCGGGCAAAAAGTGCCTGACTAACTTCAGGTATGGATCTTACCCCTGACAAAATGTGTTCCATGGTCAAAAAATGGCAGACAGTGATTGAAGCTCATGATGATGTCAAGACTACCGATGGTTACTTGCTTCATCTGTTTTGTGTTGGTTTTACTAAAAAACGCAAGAATCAGATGCAGAAGACCTGTTATGCTCCGCACCAACAGGTCTGCCAAATCTGGAAGAAGATGATGGAAATCATGACCCGAGAGGTGCAGACAAATGACTTGAAAGAAGTGGTCAATAAACTGATTCCAGACAGCACTGGAAAAGACATAGAAAAGGCTTGCCAATCTATTTACTCTCTCCATCATGTGTTCGTTAGAAAAGCAAAAATGCTGAAGAAGCCCAAGTTTGAATTGGGGAAACTTATGGAGCTTCATGGTGAAGGCAGTAGTTCTGGAAAAGCCACTGGGGACGAGAAAGGTGCTAGAGCTGAAAGAGCTAATAGATATGAACCACCAGTCCAAGAATCTGTTTAAAGTTCAACTTATACTAGTGGCAAATAAAAAGTCTCATTTATGAAAAAAAAAATGAACTTTTTGATTTTTAGAAATTAATTACTAAAAGCAATACACAGCACTGTAAAAACAACAACAACAACAACCAGAAAATTTATTTTTAAAAAATGTCATGCACAACCTTCCAAGGCAGAAGGTAAATGGGCGTCTGAGAAAAACCCCAAGAAAGGTGCTCGGGATGGGACCAAGGATCACAAGGATGGAGGAAGGAGTTGGCAGGACTGGTGGGGGAGGAAATGAAAGCCCCAGAAGCCAACAATGGAGCTGATCTGGGTAAAAGGGAGCCATGGAATGTTCTGAGAGGAGGAGGCCATGACTGCACATGGAAGGGACAGTTAGAGAAGACCGTCACAAGTCTTTACAGACCAGCATCACAGCGTGTGCCCAGAGAAGCACGGTCATGGAGGACATTACCCAGGGTCAGCTTTCATATGCGCCACACACAGTGTGTCATTTCTACTTTTCACATCGCATCACTCCAGTTTTCAGGATGAGAAAGCTGAAGTTCAGTGAGGTTTCCCTGAACCTTGTTGGGGTTCATTCTGGCCACACTGGCTTGCCTATTTCTCTGGGGTTTTGCAATCCTGTTCCCTCTGTCTGGAACACTGCCCTCAGACCTCCATGGGGCTCCCTGGTTTCATTTTCATCTCAGGTCCAAAGTAGTTTTACTGCAAGGAAAGTGTCCCTACCCCTCTGCTTAAAACAGCTGTCCCACCCACCACCTTCACTTTCTAGCCCCTTGTCCTTTATTTAAGACAGGCAGCCTTATATTCCTCCCTTCTAGCCCGTGGATCTGGGCTGGGATCACCTGTGGCCTTGGGTAGCAATTTTCCCACCTGTCCCCAACCCCTGCCGTGTGCTTCTCTGGCCTTACGTGGTGCCCAACTTTGACTCTGAGATCCTGGTCTTGCTTGGCCCTTACGGAACACAGCTAATGACATATGCAGTCATGGCTGAAAAAAGAGTGGGTGGAGAACGGTAAATGTAAACCTTGCCTCGGCTTCTATAGCCTGGGGTGCTGAATGCTGATACTGAGCAGTGTCCCAGCATCCCTGATTCTCAGGCGTGATGGGGAGGTAGGCTAGAAATGGCAACTAGGGGTAACTCAAGCTCTCCCAAAGGATGTGAAGTGAACCTCTAATCAGCCCAGCATGGAGATGGCCACACCTCATAAAGACCAGGACAGGCGCAGCTAAGGACAAAGAGGTGAGAGGGAAAGAAGCCTCTCCTGGGCCTGGTGACAATTGGCCATCAGCTCTTTTCATGGGGAGGAAGTGGAGAAGGAGAAAACAAGGAACAAAGACTTTGCACTTAAAGGGACTTTGAGCCAAT